ATAGAAAACGCCGCTATTTTTCACAACGCGTGTATAATCAATACTCTAACTGAAGTTTTTCGCAAACATCGCAAATTTTTTTAGTGACGTTTATAAATGCCGCTAAACGTTTAAAAAAATGTTATTAAAAACCTAAATCCCTGTAGTGGGTAGAAAGTATTATAGTAATTTTGATCAATTATGATTGAAAAAATATTTTCATAATTATAGTAAGAGAAACATTATAATAATTTTAGCTAATTATAGGAGTAGAGGTATTATTATCCTTTTTAACACATGTCAAATAATAATCAAATAAAAATAATTTTTAAAAGGATTGTTTTAATTATATAGTATAGATAGTGTAGATTAATATGTACCGCAAGCTTTATCAGCTAAAAAAAAAAATTATTGGCAACAAAAATATAATTTAAATTTTACAAATGAAATATTATATACTTATCAATTTAATTAATTTTAAAAACAGTTTAAAAAATTATAATAAAATTTTAAAAAAAATCAAAACGAGATGAGTGAAGAACTTTCCAATTCCCTTTTGCTGAAAATTTTGGTAATGTTGAGTTCCCGAATTGTTGTTTGAAATTAGTATTTTTTTTCAAGCTTAATTCAATTAGAGGATTTTGTTCTTAGATAAAAAAAGATAAATAAAAAAATTGTAATTCTCATAGAAAGCACCCATATAAGTTGCATGTTCACCGAGTTTTAGCTTATTTTTTGTTTTAATTAAGCTCAACGTTACATCATTTACCAAAGAATAGAAAGTTACTACGTTTGAATTGGTAACGAGCGGTGAGTGTTGAGTTGAAAAGGTTACTCCGGAAAGCACCTTTTCATGGTTTGTCCTTGTATATTCAAAGACAATGTTATTTTCATTTCTTTTTCGTGAATTAACTAATGCTTAGGACCAAATCTACAAGAATTAGTTATTTAGACGTATGAATCACTTGATTTAGGCATTAATACCATAAAAGACTTGGTTTTTTTTTATTTTTTTGGTCAGCGCATAAAAGACTTTATTAACACAGGATAATTAAAAGTAATTAACTACAAGCTTTTGAATTTTGAGGGAGATTAATAAGGAAAGGTTGCCCAATTCATCCGGAAAACGGTTGGCTTGCTTTGTCAATTAAAAGCTAAAAGATAGATAGTGTCACCATATATAGTGAATTAAATCAGGTTCATGATAATTTCACAGAAATTATATTGTTGTTTGCTTAGGGATTCAACAAAAAGTGAATTTCTTTGCTATATATGCTTTAACATGGTTGTGGGCACTAAATGAGATGAAGCACGTGGTCTCAAAAGCATTAACAATAATTAAATTAAATTAAATTATCATTGCCAATTACTCTATGCATGGCTTCCCTCTTGCTTTTATTGGGAAGATAATGTTTTGATGTTTTAGAATTTTGTGTTGTTGAGTGTAAATGTTATATAGATTTGTTTAAAAGAAAATATTAAATAATTTTATTATGCCAAAAAAAAAAAAAAAGATATCGTTGGGGTTTAACTTTCCTAAAGGAAAAGTGGATATGCGAAAAAAAAAATCATTTTACTGAATTAAGTATTTTGCTTTGGTTTACAAATTTTAGTGTCCATTTGGATTTTAATTTTTAGTACGGCACGATTAAATTTATTATACCATCAGTTGAATTCAAATATTAATTTCAATAAAACTTATTCTAATATAAATTTTTCATTAAATTTTTTTAATCATAATTACAATAATTTTTTTTTAATTGTAATTATAATAATTTTTATTATTATTTTCAATTTCATGTCAATCTAATAAAGTTCACTTTATCTTTACAAAGTGTTGCTAAATTTGTTGTCAAAGCAATATTAATATTTGCAGAACTTTCGATGGTTTGATAAAAATGAATATTTTTCATTTTTCATTATTCTTTATGCATGCTCTTTCAAGAGAATAGCTTGGCCTTAACTTTCAAGTATACAAACTTTTTTTTCTTGTTTATTTAATTTTTATCACTTTAGTTTTTTTTTTTTTTCTCTTCTGTACCATAGGATTAAAAGTTGATAAAGTTTAAAAGATCGACATATGAGATTTTTTAATTATTTTATACAGTTTTTTTAAAAAATTAATATTTAATATATTTAAATTTTAAATTTTAATATTTATAATTTTTTATTTACATTTAATTTTCATTTTTGTTTCCTTTCATAAATAAAATAGAAATAAAAATTTTGTTTTAGGTAAATAAATTCGTTTTACTAGAATGATAGTAATTTTTATATGATTGAGAATGTTTTAAAATGAATTCATATCTCAATAATCATTTTAAAAAATTATATATTTTCAAAAATAATCTTAATCAAATTAAATAATTTACTCGAAAAATCTGAAGGATAAATAATTACATTCTTCCTAAAAAAAATAAAACTTCGTCGGAAGATGTAACAAAGAAGAATATGCCCAAATTATAAAGTGAATTAATCTCTTATCAGAAATTTGAAAAAGATAACTATTTTCAAATGAAATTGAAAAAAAATGATGAAGATTTACCACTTTTAGTAAGTTTCAGATCATCTAAATTAAAAATAAATATTGATCATCCACTATATTTTATATTTAAAATATACAAATAATCACTCAATTTTAAAGATCTTTTAAAATAATGATTTATGTATTAATACTTTTAATTTAGTTATTTAAGTTTAATTAAGTATTTTTTTGTTATTCTATCATTAGTGACTAATAAATGTGCTGACATGATAATATCACATCAATTATTAAATACAACGTCTTTTGATAGGCTACGTGGCATTATAAAACTTTAGAATAAAATTCTATCATTTGAGTTTTTAAAAAATTTTATTTTAGTCACTCAATTTTAAAAATTTATAATTTGGTCACTAACAAATAAGTTTTCAAATTCTATAACAAAATATAATCAATATTTAATGTTTTTATTGCACAGAATTAAATTATAATTTTTTATTTTTTTGTAATTATACAATTTAAATTTAAAAAATGGATGAATATTATTTACTTGCAAAAATTACTAAAATAATGTTATTTAAAATTTTTATAATTTAGCACATCCAAATAAATTCAAGTAAATATTTCCTATTTCATAATGTAAAGGTTTAGTTTTAATTTCATGTAATAAAGATATTAAAGGAAATATATATATATATATATATTAATAATTTCACAAACATTTGTGATAAAATTGTAAAAGTTTAAAACAGTTCCTTGAATTTATTTGGATTAACTAAATGACAAACACTTGAAGTAAATGTTTTAGTAATTTTGACAATTGATTAACATTCATCTCTTTTTCAAATTTAAATGGTATAATTGTAATAAAATAAAAGTTTATAGTTTAATATCATGTAATAAAAATATTGAATGTTTATTTTTATTTTTTTAATAAAATTCAATGACTTATTTTATTATTATTTCAATATATTTCAAATTTAATAGGTAATACAAATAATAAAATAATTTATTATATTAAATTTCATAAAGATTGGTGATCAAATCATTATAAATTCATTGACAATAGAAACTAAAATATTAATAAATTTCACAAACATTAGTCATCAAAATATTAATAAATTTCATATTTTATAATGTTAAGGTTTAGTTTTAATTTCATATAATAAAAATATTAAAGGAAATATATGTAACAAAATAAAATAATTTGTTATATTAAATTTTACAAACTATCGGTGATTAAATCATTATAAAGTTACGTTGAGAGTATCCACATATTAATAATTTCACAAACATTTGTGATAAAATTGTAAAATTTTAAAATAGTTACTTGAATTTATTTGGATTAGTTGAATAACAAATACTTGAAGTAAATATTTTAGCAATTTTGGCAATTAATTAATATTAATCTATTTTTTAAATTTAAATGATATAATTGTAATAAAATATAAGTTTATAGTTTAATTTCATGCAATAAAAATATTAAATGTTTATTTTTTTATAAAATTCAATGACTTATTTAAGTATTATCTCAATATATTTTAATAGGTAATATAAATAATAAAATAATGTATTATATTAAATTTCATAAATGTTGGTGATCATATCATTATAATTCATTAACAATAGAAATCAAAATATTAATAAATTTTACAAACATTAGTGATCAAAATATTAATAAATTTCATATTTTATAATGTTAATATTCTAATTATAATAAATTTATATTATCTATTTTTCTTTTAATACTTTATTGCATGAAATTAAAATTATGAAGTTTCACTGTAATTAGAATTTTGAAATTATAAAATATAAAATACATATTTGAATTTATTTGGATAAATAAAATCACAAAAATTTGAAGTAATGTTATTATAGTAAATTCAGCAATTTGATAATATTTATATATTTTTAAATTTAAATTGTATAATTATAATAAGATAAAAAATTTATAATTTAATTTCATGCAACCAAAAAAAAAAACTCTTAAATGCTTATTTTTAATTTTATAAAATTTGAAAATTTATTTATTTGTGATTAAATTGTAAACTTTTAAAATTGAGTGATCAGAATAAAAATTTATAAAAAGTTTAGTGATCAAAATATAATATATAATATATTGTAATTTTTAATCTTTAAAATTTTAAAATATCACATAGTGACTTATCAAATAATGTAGAAGTGCATATAACGTAGTATCACAGTTTTAAGAATGAATCATGAATTTTATATCGATTGTATATTAGATTTAATCATGAGATATAAAAGTTTACATTATTTTTTACTTATGAGATATTTTTTGTGAGATAAAATCATGAAATTAAAAAATCGAAATAAATAATATCTTATAAAAATGTGAACTGTGATAATTAAACTAATTTAAAACGTCAAATTAATCTATACTCGTATCTTAGAGTCTCACGAGTATGAAACTTGAGTCTTGACCCATGTCAGTAGTGCTACCATCTTATTATGTCGTTAAAGACTAATAATGAGTGATCAAATAAATGTTTAATCAAATTTAAATAAAATTGATTAAAAAATTAATATTTTAATAACCATTTTAAAATAAGCTCTAAAGTTGGGTGACTAATTTGCAAGAAATAAAACTTTTCTAAAAAACGGTAAAAGAAAGGATATTTTAGTAAATTCAATCAAACAATTCAACGTAACAATGATTGAAAAAAAAAAAACCCAACAGACCATGCCTCGGAAGACAAAATTGAAGAAACCCATAAAAACATGTCCCCGTTACCTAATCGTCCATCATCATGCCTAAAAAAAAAAAAAACAAAGAAATCTACAGAGAGAAAGTGTGGCACAGCACTATATATGAAATAGCAAATATTTTCACACCTCTGCTTCTGCCTTAATCGCGGAATCCTCCTTTCTCTCCCTTTCTTTTTCTTTTTCTTTTCCTTTTCTTTTCTTTTATTTTCCGTCGAGTTGTTTCTTCTTCTTCTTTTTCTTCGTTCTTTTTTTTAAACTTCCGGCGATAAGATGTCGTCGGGAGGTACAAACAACTCGGCAAACGGGAGTCCAATTCAAGGAGGACCCACCACTACAAGACGACGCGTGGCAGATCTTCCGACAACAGCAGAGTCGGATAGCAACAACTCATCTTCTTGTTCGGACTATTATCCCCTCGCCTCTAACGATGAAGAAGCCGACAACCCCAACGGTTACATTCCCTCCAGTTTTTCTTCATGCGGGTCCCATTATTTGCATCACCACCAAAACCATCACCCTGTTATCAGGTATCTGCTACTTCGAAGGAAGTTGTTATTTTCTTGGGTGCCCGATACATGGTTCCTTTGGATTGACAACACGTGTCATTGGGCGGTTAATATGGTTCAGAGTTTGGGTTCCGGCAGGAACATGGGCCGTAAGATCCTCGGAGTTCTGTTGTTAATGGCGGTTGTTTCGTTTTTTCTCAAAGTCTCGCTTCTTAGTAGTCACGTTGAGCTTAACGGCAAATGGAAAACAGAAAACGGACTGTTAATCTTACAAACGTTTAAAGAGGATTGGGCCTTGGCCCAACGCGTTGTCGCCGAGACTGAACACTCCATACCCAAACGCGTCCTCGAGAGGGTCTCTGTGAGTTTCTTTCCTTGTTCTTGGTGTTTTATTTCTTTTTTTTTTTTTTGATGAATTTTGAATGGTTGATGAAATAGGGGTTTTTTTTTTTTGCATTGAATTTTCTTGAGGGGTGGTGGCTCTGACCAAACAGCCAATTTTCACTGTCTTTGGGTTACTTTATCTTGACCATTCATTTGGTTGAGTTAGCTGTTATGTTTTTTGATGGCTTTTCCTTGTGCATTCACATGAATATTCTTTGCAGTCTCTGTTTGACTTCCTATCCATGGAATTCTACGTCTTTCCATGAAATTCTTGCTTTTTTTTGGTTGGTGTAATAGTAAATTAAAAGTAAATGATGTTACTTTTTTTTGTTGATTTAGTAAAATTACCTTTTGTTCCTTATGCTCACGTGTTTTATTATTATTATTTTTTTCTATCTGTAGATCCCAGAAATTTGGATGAAACCAAACAGTAAAAATTATCAGCAATGTATATCTCGACCTAAGAATCGAATAAGTATGTCATGTTCCTTTCTCAACGTGTTAAGCACTTAACAAAAAAAGAGAGATTTGTATGTGATTTTTATTAATAGTCTGAACTAACTTCCTCAGGGACTGGATCAAAGACTAATGGTTATATTATTGTTCATGCCAACGGTGGATTGAATCAAATGAGAACAGGGGTAAGTTTGACTCTTGATAACTTTGTTTTTCATAGACTTGGATAGACCTTTGATTTTTTACTTTTTAATCTTTTCCGCAAGCTAATCTGTTGGTTCTATTGATTTATAGATATGTGATATGGTTGCTGTTGCCAAGATAATGAATGCCACCCTGGTTCTTCCTTCTCTTGATCATGAGTCATTTTGGACAGACCCAAGGTAATATTAATCACTGTAGTAGTTTGATGTTGGTTTTGTTCGTTGTTATAAGCTTCAAAAAGTTAACTTTTTTAATACATTTTGGACAGTGATTTTAAGGATATATTTGACTGGAGGCACTTCATCAATGTACTGAAAGATGATATTGAAATTGTTGACTATCTACCCGTTAAGTACACATCAATAAAGCCCCGTGTAAAGGCCCCTGTTTCCTGGTCAAGGGTATGGAAAGGATTGAAATTTGTTAAATGCATGATGATATTTCATTTGATTTAGTGTTACTGGAAGGTGACTTAGATGCTTCATTTGCAGGCTAGTTACTACAAAAAGGAGGTTCTCCCATTACTAAAGCGACATAAGGTGATCAAGTTCACCCATAGTGATTCAAGGCTTGCTAATAATGGCCTTGCAACCTCCATTCAAAGACTAAGGTGCCGTGCCAATTATGAGGCTCTCAGGTATACAAAAGAGATAGAGGATCTTGGGAGGACTTTAGTTGATAGACTAAAGAAAAATAATGAGCCATACATTGCTTTACACTTAAGGTACCGTCATTACTGGCTTCTAGTAGTATTTCTCCTTTTGAATTCTCTAAGCCCAATAAGCTAATCTTAATTGCAGGTATGAGAAGGATATGCTTGCATTCACGGGATGCAACCATAACCTTACTTTAGAAGAGGGTGATGAACTCACGGTTATGAGATACAATGTTAGACACTGGAAGGAGAAAGAGATAGATAGTGAAGAACGGCGAAGACAGGGGGGATGTCCAATGACCCCTAGAGAGGCAGCCGTGTTCCTCAAGGCCATGGGTTACCCTACCAGCACGCCTATCTACATTGTTGCAGGAGAGATTTATGGCAGCAATAGCATGGCAGCCTTCCGTTCAGAGTATCCAAATGTCTTCTCTCATTCCACTTTGGCAACTGAAGAAGAGTTGGAATTGTTCAAGCCATATCAGAATCGCCTTGCTGCCTTGGATCATATTGTGGCACTTGAAAGTGACGTCTTTGTTTATACCTATGATGGTAATATGGCTAAAGCGGTACAGGGGCACAGAAGGTTTGAAAGATTTCGAAAGACCATCAACCCTGACAGGTCTGTTCATTTTAGGGTATTAGATACATGCTGAATTTCTTTCTTAAAGAGGGGATATTAAGACTACTGTACTGACATAATATCTTTTATTTCAGACAAAATTTTGTTAAATTCATTGATCAGCTGGATGAGGATGTAATATCTTGGGAACAGTTTTCTTCGAAAGTAAAGAGTTTACACTCTGACAGGCTTGGAGCGCCGTACCTAAGACAGCCAGGAGAGTCACCACGACTAGAGGAGAATTTTTATGCAAACCCCCTTCCTGGGTGCATCTGTAACAGATCTCGGAAGCAGCAAACTAGCAGCCAGAAGTTCGACGAGACCTTGAGTTCAATTCAAAGATAGTATTTTTGTTAGTGGATTATGTCAGTTGAATTATATACTGCCCTTTGCAGGATGGATGATAGGGATTCTTGAATTAAGGTGCCTTCCCTGGTAGGGAGACTTGCTGCAGCCACCACCTACAGGGCTGAGAAATCTTATGGTTTCAGATTTCTCATTTGATTTGATGTCAGCTAAATCATACAGTACCGGTTCAGTTTTGTTAGACGACCCAACCAACAACTTAGGTAAGCAGAGAAGATGAAGATGATGTATAATTCTGAGGCAAATCAGGTTAATTATACAGGCACACGCGCATATGTCACAGTGGAATCACAGTATTGATTTATTCATTATTATTTTCAAATAATTTGGTTGTAAAAAAAAAAAAGAAAGCATTTGCCAAATCAGCCTCTCACGAATTCGGATGTAATATCTGGAATAGTACATAATGTAGATTGTTTCCCAAATGTTCCAAGCAGATACTATTATTTCGTTCTCAGTTTCATTTTCTTCTTCTTTTCTTTTAAAAAAATGATAGCTTTATTCTTAAGATGAAAGAACCAGTCCTGACTCTTTCGCTATTGAGGGAAAAAGAAGGAAATGAAAAGAATGAAGACAATCCTGTTGACCGATGTGTTTCTATGGACAAATGAGAAAAAGATATATACAGTTTTTTTGTTTTCTAATGATTTCAGGACAACTAGCAGTTGTCTTCCCAAATTGATTCTGCTGCAATATAAGGTTTAAATTAATGAAAAAGGAATAAAGATGTCTCTGCACAGCTGGATTTAAAATCATTTATAGCTCAGATTACACGGGGAAGCTGGCATGTGGAGCATTATTGGAGTAAGAAAAAGCAGAAGATCCAACTTTCCAAATTCCAATATTGATATTTCTTTTTACTACTACTCCCGAGGGCCAAGTCCGAAGGAGATAGCAATAATTTATTTGAATGTCCGAACGGCAGGAGTAGATGAGGACAGGCCGTTCCGACATGGAGATGCTTGCATTCACATTTTCTTTTTCCTGAATGTTTGCATCATTCTCTTTTTATTCTAGCCAACAGATAGTGTCTTATCAGCTTCGGAGGTCTAACATTGCATAAAGTTTACTGAAAAAAAAAAAAAAAAACAACAAAAGATGGAAGCTAACTGCATCAAACATTGAGCGGAAAAAGGCAAAAACAAAAAGGGTTCATCAACCTAAGAGGGAATCCATACGGATTTGATCGAATATAAAACCACCAAAGTAGTTTGCTTTTGGTAGTCTCCACTGTCCAGTGGCAGATATTAGAAAATTATGCTTAGCATTCACATCAACTAATGGGATTCAAGGGAAATTTGTTTACCTTCCGGATTCAAACAATACACCATTTCCTCTGGCTTAAACAATCGTGTGAACATAATTTTGCTGAATATTGGACCATAGAAAGATGGAGGATTGCTGACTACAGAAAAAAATAATTTAATTAGAAGAATATATTGTACAATCTAGCCCTCACCTACACACACGGACACACCTACAAGTATCCAGGACTTGCTAACGATAGAGTTACTCAAGATGGATTGAATCGAATTCAGCATTTCTAAGCTGTGTACATCACATAAAGCCTCTTCCTCTTTCAAGACTTCTTATCCATTTTCATTAGATATAAAACCTCATAAACTGCCTAGAAAAGTAGCAAAAATTTTCTATCATGTTCTCTGGCTCTCAACTACCGCATTGAAGGTACATAAACCGGTTCTTTCAGATTTTGTATAGGAAAACCTCTAACAGCACCAATTGTCCACTGTGATATAATTCCTGCTGCAACTGCAAACCTTAGCTGCCTCTCTGAGGTATCTAGATGTTCAAACATCTCAGGGCAAGTGGTCAGTTTCCTCATGATACCAGCCACAACAGCATCACCGGAACCAGTTCAATCACAAGTGAATGGTTCGCACATCCTCTGTCCCAACAACCACACCATCAAATGGAGGTGTAAACTAATGTATTCTAAGTGTTCCATCAGTCACAAACAGAAATTTTAGTCCATCATGCCACAGTGGAGAGATTTCCTCACGGGTATAACGATAGTAGTCCCGACGATTCTTGGTTTAATCAAAACTTTCAGCATGGTGTTGAGGCCTGTAATTTCTCTCCACCGAGAAGAAACTCTAACTCTTGCCTTGAAACCTCAACGATGTTTGCTTTGTTCCAGTCTTTCTTGATCACCTCCGTTGTTTCATCACGTGACCTCCACAAGGGCAATGGCAAATTCAAATAAAAAAAAAAATGAGCTCCCCAAACTTCTTAGACCATGCAATTGCTTTAAAAATGTAGATTGCGTGGAAGATGTTAAAACCTCTGAATTGAACTGGAAAATCCTAGCCAGCATTAATGTTGGATGGCAAAACATCCAAATTCAGTAAGCAAATTCAATTTAACCATATGATCTACTTTAATCATCTTGACCAAACTGGATTACACATTAACAAGTCAAAAAATATCACGATTCAAAGATTCATATATCCTCAAAACTATCAACTAATCAATTAACAAGAAAAATTCACTAGCAAATTACAGAAATGCCACTCCAAGTACATATGCAGCATCATACTTGATCAATTTCACATTTTCATAAAATGCTCCAGGAAAAAAAAGTGAACTTTTCCTATAATTTTCATATGGAATTTCATTGCATAAGAATCAACAGTAAGTTTTTAAAAAATTACCTCTTTGAGAACAGCAAGATTCAATTCAGAGCTAAGAAGAGAGTCCTCAGCAGATTCCTAAACAGTCTCCATCTTTAACTTCCTATTCTCATCAAACTTAACCTTCATATAAGTACACCCAGTCTTAACATTCTCACCAAACTTGACACCTCTGGTTTGCACTTTCTCTTTATTCATCATCAAAACAATCTCATCGCCAAACTTGTCTTCCTCAACTTTCCCCATAAATGCAGCTCTCCCTCCAAGTCTCACGTGTGATATTACCACGTTGGATGGCGGCCCACCTCCCGAACTCCGGTGGGTCCCACTGAAGCATTTTCAAGTGGGAGTATTTATCTGGGTGCATCTTTGTTCACTCTAACTGTGGGTACAAACTCCTTTTGTGCAGCGCCGAAGCAGCGGATCAAAGGAGGTTCGTCGTACGGAAAATCCATGCCATCGTCGAAATCTCCTAGCTCCTCTTCTTCTTTTCCCTCATTTTTAGATTCAATAGAGCCATTTTGAGGCAGAGTTTTTCTCCTGCGCGCTGTTTTCTTTACTGGAGAAGTTTCTGGAGAAGACGAAGTTGGTTTCTTTTTTCCTACCTCGGCGAGTTGGTTTTGGAGATTCAATGGCTCCGTTTGTTTCAACTGGGGCACTTAGTAAAGCGACAATTTTGGGACAACTTAAAAGCTGAACCTTTGGGTTCGAAGAGTTCAAGAATAGTGAGAGACAGTGAGGGAGTTGAAGAAGTGATGCCATCGTTTTGTTTCAAATGTAGTAGGATTACGGTGATATGATTCCAATCGGATTGATTGGATTATTTTTTTTATAATATATATAATATTATAAATTTATAAAATTTAAATAGAATTTAAATCAATTTTTTTTTTAAATTGATTTGATTCGAAATGATTCAATTCAAATTGAATTTATTGGTTTAATTCGATTAATTTGTTTTAAAATTTATTTTTTTATATTTTATATATTATTTTATAATATTTTAAATATATTTTAATAGATTTATATATATAATAATTATTTTTATTTTACAAAAATTTAATATATATAAATTAATAAAAATATATAATTAAGTTCATTTTGAATTTTTTTAATTTTTTACCTATTGATTTAAAATTCAATTTAAACTTAATATACTATTTAATTTTTTATTTTGATTCAAATCAAATAAAAAAATCTATTTAAAATAAATCAAATATTATAATTTTAAATTAATTTTTGATTTTTTTAATTTTTGTCCCAACCCTAACTAAGATCTAAGATTTAAAATTTCTCTATCGCAATACATCAACCTTATTTTAAGGTCATAAAATATTATAATATCTCATTATATATCATGATAAATTGCAAGAATAATATAACTTAAAAAAAAACATATTAATTGGTAAACATTAAAAATTATATACATAATTTTATTTTATTTATTAATTTAACAAAAAAATGACATCTTTTTTAATTTTATAATATCAATTTATTTTACAAAATCAATTTAATTAATTACCTTTAATAATATATTTTTATATTTTTTTATCATTACATTTAGAATTATTAAAAAAATTTTCGAGAAAAAGACATTTCAAACTTATTTTTCATTTAATGATATAAATTTTATAATTATTTTCATCTTTTTACACTAACAATTTTTTATTTAGAATTTTTTAATTTAAAAATATCAATTCTTTTACATGTCAAGTTAATTATTAAGTTTAATATTTTATTACACTTGTTCTTACTTTTTACTTCGTTTAAAATTATCATAACTTTTTTTAAGGTATTACAACATTAAATAATATCAATTTTACGATGTCAAATGATACTACTGTTTTTTATACTAACACTTTTTTTAAGAATTATTAATTATTTGTAATAATAATTTTTTTACGTTGCTAAAAATATTATTTATGTTATAATAATATATATTTTACATTTGTTCTTTTTTTTTATTATGTTTAAATTTATTACAACTCTTTATTAAGGTGTTAAGACAATTCTAATCCAATTTATGCCAAGTGATATTAATTTTACAATTATTATTATTTTTTTAGATTACAACACTTCTAACACACATTTATGTCAAATTATTCTTATTTTACAATTACTCTTACTTTTTTACGTTAACACTTCTTTTAATTTAGAATTATTTTTATTTATAATAACAAATTTTTTATGTTGTTAATTTAATTATTTATGTTATAATAATATCTTTTTATATTTATTGTTATTTTTATTATGTTTAAGATTATATTAATATTTTCTTAAAGAGATTACTACACTTCTAATCATTTTACATAAAAAATTATCAATTTTATAATTATTTTTATCTTTTTACATTAATATCTATTTTTTAGTGTAAGATTATTTTTTATTTGTAATAATAATTTTTTATATTACCAATTTTTTTATTTACATTTTAATAATATTTTTTACATTTGTTATTACTTTTTATTACATTTAAAATTATCACAATATTTTATTAAGATATAAAGATACTTGTAACCATTTTACGTTAAATAATACTAATTTTACAGTTATTTTTATTTTTTTACATTAATTTTTATTTTTTGATTTAAAATTATTTTTTATTTGTAATCATTTTTTTACATTACCAACTTAATTATTTTTGTTATAACAATATCTTTTTATGTCTGTTGTTACTTTCTCATAATATTTATAATTATCACAACTTTTTGTTATAATATTACGATACTTCAAACTCATTTTATGTTAAATGACATCAATTTTATAATTATTCTCATTTTTTTACATTAATACTTATTTATTGGTTTAAAATTATTCTTTGAAATTAAGGTAATAATTTTTTTACATTATCAACTTAATTATTTACATTGCAATAATATTTTTAAACTTATTTTTACTTTCATTACATTAAAACTTATTATAATTTTCTTTTAATGTGTTGATATTTTTAATATATTTTATATCAAATGATACTAATTTTTTTATATCAAATGATACTAATTTTTTTATATAATTTCTAACCTTTTTACGTTAAATAATTTTTAATTAAAATTTTTTTAAATATTATATATATTTTTAGGAATTTTAAATAAATTATATTTATTTATCAAAATTTTATTTTATTAATAAATAATATTTAATATAATTAATTAAAATTAAATTGACAGATTAATAGGTAATTCATTATTTTTAAATTAAAAAAATCAATAATTTACATTATTATTCAATAACTTTATAATCCGATCAAAAATATTTAAACTTATTATAGAAGCTTCCGTTTGATTTATGCATGGTTTTTCCTTGTCCTCTGGCTGATAAATTTTATCGGGTCGTGTTTTATGGGCCTTAAGTTTCGGGTCATGTCAGAAAGAAAGGACAAATCCAACGGCTAGCAACTCGAGGGACACGTAAGCAAGGACGATCTCATACGTTAGATCAAAAGGTTCCTGAATCCGAAGTGGCCCAACAAGCTGAAATCGGCTGTCCTTTTGCAGCTTTCTTGTTGGTTCGGTTCCCCAAAAGGGTTTTGGTTGGCTTGTTTTCTGACTTCATTTCCCTTCTTCTTTGATCTCTGCTTCTAGCTGATGAAACTAATCTGTAATCTGACGGAGTACGATTTGTTAGTCTAAACAATTTTTTCTTGGGTTGCTTCTTGTTTCTGGTAAGAAAATTCGTATCTTTAGTTTCCTCCGTTTCCAAGAACACGCCTGCTTTAATTCATTTTGTTCTCAAAATCTGAATTACATCGAGAGCTAATTTCAGGAACAAATTTGAGATTCTTTTATGCCCGCCATAATTTATTTTACTTGAACCCTAAAATCGTAAACCTGATATGGACTAAATCTTTTGTTTTATAATTGTATAATCTGTTGCATGTTGATTAGTTTTGTGAAATTTAATCAAAGGCTGAACTTTTGCAGTACTTATGGAATCACATTTCAAAGCAGTAATGCTTCTGTAAATATATGTTGATTCTTTGATATTTTCTCCTGTTGCTCTAAGATTTAGTTATATTTCATAGACTATATAGCTAATGGGCTTTTCTGAATATAGAACATGCCATTTGCTTAGGTAAATATGATATGATAAGCCAGGAGCTAAAACATGTGGTTGGTGCAGCTGATTGCAAGGTGATCATGGGAAAATATAGATATGTTAATCTTAGAAATTCAATGCACTGCTCTAATATTTAGAGAAAGATAGGGCTTTTCTCAGAGACCAGCGAAAAATGCCTAAAAAAGACAGTCATATACTTGCATTACTCCTTGATTTTACAAGGTAGAAGGAGGTGCTTTATGTTCGTGGATGTTGAGGCTATGTTTTATATGCATTGAGAGTTATAATTGGAAAGTGTAGTAGAGTCGAGCATCTTTGGTTGCTAACTTGCTATTCTAGAGACGAATTCTTCTTTCTAGTATTTTATTCCTACAAGGAGTGCAAGACATCTCACCCCTATCCAATCCAATTAGAAGTTTTCAGTTTTCACTACCACCTATTACTATTTCAATATGAAACCAAAGTCTTTGTCCTGAATTTGAGAACTGAAACCTTATTTTGTGCAGAAAATGGGCTTCTGGACTTTGATAGAAGGTTTGCTGCTCTTTGCCAATGCATTAGCAATACTAAATGAAGATAGGTTCCTTGCTCCAAGAGGATGGACCTTGGCAGAAATTCAAGGAGGTAGAAGAAATACACTTAAGGGGCAAATAATTGGGCTCATACATGCATGCCACTTCCTGAGACTACCACTTATCCTTTTCAATATCATCATTATCGTAGTTAAGCTGTTCAGCGGTTGAAACTTGAGATTGAAGAGGTTGAGAAAGGTTCATGGCTTGCCAATTCCAAAGTTGTTTGCCCATTCAGGGGCTGTGACCTGTTTGTTCAACACTCAGAAAGGTAAAATCAGAGAAAGCTCATATGCTAATAAAGCCATGTTTACGGCCTATGCAATCAAATTTCATTTCTAAACTTATGTTGTTTTTTATTTTTATTTATTTTTGTGTCTGTTTGACAATATGTGCTGTCGACATTTGACTGAAGCATCTCAGGCTAATTACTCGCTTTTGACTATTAATTGGGGGTACAAGGTTAAGCCTTAGAGCATTTGACATCCATTCATAAAAGTTATTAACATCTTCTGGGGAAAAAGTCTACTCTGTTAACATTCAGTTTTTTTTTCCTCATTTTGATTCATAGTTATTCAATTTTAGATCCCTTACTCTCATCTCTGCACTATTTTGTTAACAAATGAACCTTGTACCAGACAGAAGATTGCTGGGTGTATGTTCAAAACATCATGCCAGAAACCAAGCAGGTAAATCAAGTTTGATGTAATGATAAAATGCATCTTTTTTAGGTAAGAGGACTCCAGCAATCGGGCTAATGGTTGGTTGCATGTTAATGAATGAATAACAATAGTAGAAAACATTATTAGAAAGAGATGAAAGTAGCGGGCAATGAAATCCATCAAAAATTTCAAAATATTCATATAATAAACTAACCACAATCTGCGAAGACTGATAATTGTGAGAAAAAAGTACAGCTAAACAAATATAATAAACTAACCACCTTCACAAAACTCAAAAGCCAGAGTTCAGCACTTACTCAACTGGTATAATAAACTAACCACAATCTGCGAAGACTGATAATTGTGAGAAAAAGTACAGCTAAACAAATATAATAAACAAACCACCTTCGCAGAACTCAAAAGCCAGAGTTCAGCACTTAATCAACTGGTATCATAACCTCGTTAGTCCTGAAAGCGGGTATAGTCCAAGGAGGATTATACCTAGCCAGCAAAAACTGGCCAATCACTTTGTGCCCATCTCTCTCTAAGCTCTTCCTCAGGTTATCCACCTTCTCCTCCACCACCTTATCTGTTGCCACTCCTCCAAACTTCACCACTCCATATTTCCTCTCTCCTTCCTCCCTTATCACCACCCTCTCGTCCAATGGCTTGGGTGCCTCCTCCGCCCCCTTGTACATCGCTGGCAACAAAAATTGCATAGTCACCATGTTTTTGTCACCCTTGGTTACCACAGGAGCGGTCATGGCAATCTTTTCACTTTCACTTCCGGGCGATTTAGTAATCACTGGAGCAGTCATGGCAATCTTTTCAGGTTTTGCATTCTGCGGATTACCTAAGGCACCTATGTAATTTGCTAAGACTGAAAAGCCACCGTCTTTGTCCCCCTTGAACTGAGATGGATCGTACGTGACTTCCGCCACAACTGAAGGAGGGTATTTTCGGATTTCATAATCAGCTGAGGAGTGAACCACTTCATATTTTGGAGTTTCTACAGTGATCTTACCAAGAATCAGACCCATGTTGGAGAAACAAGTTGGATTTAGAAAGCCTGAGGATCTAACTAGAGGATTCAAAGTAGATTTAAACTTAGTGAATGCATAAACCAGTGAGGAATCTTATATAACCAGACAGAAGGAAAGAAAGTGTTGAATTTGCCTTTGGCGTCTAGATTGTTCAATCAATGCTAATTTTGTCAAAAGGTATTTCTTGGGAGAGACGGCAAGACTCCATGTATATGCTTCTGGGTTTTGTGGCACGAATTTGGAGATGTATTTGTGGTCTTAATTGATCCACGACCTCAAATGGATAATGAGGACTTAATTGATCCACGACCTTAAACGAAGAATGAGCCTTTTGGCTTCTACGGTTTACTCAAGCTAGCCTTCTTAATATCCCACCAATCATCATGTAATGTTGCCGTTGCAATGACAGAAAATATCACCAGATAATCTAAGCAAGACCATGCAAAAGCTTAGAATAGGCGCTAGGCGGCACTTGGTTATTACCGTTGGACTCAAAAACTTTAGTCTGCTTTAGTTCCATAAGACATTTCAAATAGATATAGGTCCCATACATTTATTGCTCTTTTCTGAAAAAGGCTTGAGCCTTCAGCCAGTCCAGTCCGAAACTGAATAGCAAACGAATCCCTCTACTTATTTCTCGGCCAGATATGGGTTTACTTTCCAATAGGCCCATTAGGGTTTGTCTCTAATCACCCTATAAACGGCTGCCATTTTCGTTAAACACAGCCTCACCATAGGAGGGGGTGGTTGGGACTTAACCGGTGTTACAGTACCATGTCTTCTAAAGTAGAACTGGTCTTTTTAAGACAACAATCTGAACTTCCATTTTCAGGTGATTGATTTTTTTTTTTCTGTTTTTGATAGCTTTTTGTTTCCAATGTTAAAAAAAATGGGCATCAATGAGGAGATTTAATTTGTTATCCTTGCACTTTGATTGTCAGTGAAGAAACAAAGTGGGCATTTTCTCTCTGAGATGCTTCTTTCTACTCTTTTCTTCGCTTTTCTGTTTTTTGTTTTTTGGATCGAAGATGTTAATTTTATTCTGCGTTATCTATCTGATAGTACTTTCTTTGGAAGGAAATGAAGATAACACTTTTAACAGACTGAGATCCAGTTAGATTTTTTTTTTGTTACATTAGTTGGTTAAAATTGAATCCCTTGAATTGTAAATCCATGTTTTAAGAGTTTGTGAGATGCTTGGATTGGATCCATGATGCTACGTAACAAACTGTGTTATCTATCTGAACTTCCTTTCGAAGGGATCGAAGATATTTTCCATGCTGAGATCCAGTCATACTGTTATAATAACATGTTCACTGCCCCATCCTGTCTTTTCAGCTTAAGTTTTCAGTAGCCTTAGAAGATTAGGGTATATAGTTGACAGCTATGTTTCTTAATCCATTACAAGAGGTTTAACATATCTAGTCTTAATGGATGAATTAGGGTTTGGTTATCATATAAATTTTGCTTTTTTCCTATACAAATTCATCAGTCCTAAATGGTTAATCATTCATAAATACGTTCTTTTGATCGAGCATATGGTTAAGGTTTCAGAATTGTAATTTAGGGGGACATATGATGGTCTACAAGACTACAACATTACATGGTTTACATTTTGCATTTGATTAAGATGTCAGAAGCTATAAAAAAGCTTAAGTTAGCTGTTGTGATCTATGATAAGGAGAAAGTGGGAATAGGTTATTGATTGATTATTGGCTTAGGAACGTGATGGGGGTTGGAATTTGAAGAAATAAATTAAACTTCTTCCCTCGTCCATCAGAGTATATATTTCTCTTGCAGCTTGGAATGTGAATGGCAATTGCTTTACTATTATGTAATGTACATTAAATTAGATATTATCTGCACCTGAACAATACCCTTTTTAAATGGAATCTACCTTTTGCATTATTTATGCTATTGTTAGAGGATCAATTGAGCATTGCAGGTACGATCAATGAGGCTATGGAAGAATTGTACAACCATGGTTTTGATCAAAGATTTAAGGAACCAAGAAGCCCTTTTTCTAAAGGATGAAGTTGTATTAGAAATCCCTTGTGTTGGCTAATGTTAGTTTCCATGTGCTTTTTGCACTTGCTACCATGTGAACTGATGCTTCTAATTCCAGAACATGGGATTTTAATCTGAATTTAACTTTTCTTCCACTTTTTAGTTTCTACTAACTAATAATTTATTAGTTGAAGGGCAGTGTTTATTTATTCCTTTCCATTGAAAATGCTTGTGGTTAGTACATTAATGATCTCGTCAACAGTTATTAGCCAATCTCGTTTCGCCGTTCATTCACTGGCAAAACCTGTGATGATGGAGTGTGAATTTCTTTTTGAGTTTTTTTCTCCGACTAAGGATATTTGAAATCTTATTTCTCAAACTATAGTTCTTTTAAACTTTATTCTTAAAAGCATATAATTTGTGACAAGTAAATTTTAAATAAGTATTTTATTTAAAAAAATTACACGTATGAAAATACTTTCACCATTTCACATCATTGTTCCTTTCTCCAGCTCGGTTTTCTTCCCTGTAAGTATGTACAGAGTTCTTTCAAAATTTATTTTTTTGTAATCTTTTGCCCAAAAAAGACATTAGAAAAAAAAATTTGGATAGAAAACAATTAGTTAGGCCAACCGATTGGCCTTGGCTGCCATCTTTTGCAAATCCACCAAAGTTTCTAATATCACAAAAAATAACCAGACTTCCACCGGTGAACTTTTCTTTTCTTATTACTATTTGCCCATTCGCCTCTCATCAAAATTTGCTCTTCAAATTTTATTAAATCAATGAGATCCCTTCCTCTCTTCCTCTGTCTTCAAATCTTCTTAAATTTAGATTTTGCTCTAATTTAGTATTTTATGATTTTTTCTCAGTAAAAGTAAATAATTCTAAAATTTTAAATATTTAAATGTTTTTAAAAAATTTTATTGGCAAAAGAAATTAGAGTTGGAAAAGAATCATAACTCTTGAGAAAAGATTGGAGGAGTTCATTCTTTTTAAATTGTGAATTTTTTCCTGACTTTTTTTTTTTTGTTAGTATGAAACTTTGGCTTTAAACTTTAACCAAAAATATTTGCATCAAGTTTAGAGACTTTTTATCAATGAATCCATTTGGATATTATTCTAAATTCACAAAGAATTTCACTTTTCAGCGGCTGCAAACAAAAAAAGATTGATAGGCAATGGCTTGAACTTAATCCTCCACTCGAGGCTCCACCCTCATTTCAATTTTTTTTTCTCTCTACCCTTTTCTTGTGCAGTTCTTTTGTTGCCCTTCATTTGATCTCTTAGCAAAAAAATAAGAAAGCGAAGTAATGTTCGAAAAATCAATGCCGACTATACCTTCTTCCATCTGGGCTTCGATGTCAAGCTGGTTTATTCCACTTGTTTTCTTTGTGTTCCTCGACCTTACAATTGGTACTGTTGATAATATTTCTGGTCTCGTATTTGAAGGGAGCTGGTAAAAGATTAAAGCTGAGGTGATTTTAGGGTTGGCATCGGGTCGGGTTCGGGGCGGGTTTTGCTCGCCTCGAACCCGACTCAATTTAATATTTTATTAAATTTGAATCCAATCTTACTCGAAAAATTTTTTGATTTTTCATACCCGAACATGACCCGACCCCGATACCATGTAAATCGTATTCGATCGGACCTAAAATTAATAAAATATTATTTTTTAAAATATAAAATATTATTTTTTAAATATAAATATTTAAAAATATCATTATTTAAATATATATAATAAAAAATTAAATAATTAATTAAAAAATAATTTTTTTATATAATATCGGGTCGGGTCGGGTTTTAAGCAAACCCGAACCCGATCCGACCCAAAAACTCGAATTTAAAAAAAAAAAAAACCGACCCCGTAGGGTCGGGTCGGGCCGAAACCCGTCGGAGACGGATTATCTCGCCATCCCTAGGTGATTTGAACTTGAAGCCAGAAAACATGGTAAAGAACGTTAGAGTTGATTTTTCGGAATGCATTTTGACGCTCGTGTCAATGAGGTATTTAGGATTTTAGGACAAAAAATAGTAACGGTCAGATTGAAGTTGAGGTTAATTTGAATTTCACAATGAGACAAATTAATTCTTCTTTATTATTGGCAATTAGGAAAATTACAAATTGTTAGGAAACTACCAAGTGTCAAAAAGAGATTACTCAAATACATTAAAAAAAAAGTACGATTTGTCAAATTTAGGGAAATTGTTTTGAGGAATGGTCCACTACCCGCCACGATGAGAGCCATTATAACTCATCACCTCGCCCGCGATGAGATATAATTGTCCCCTAACAAGGTAAGGGCTTGTCTCACCAAGAAGAAAAAGCCTGTCAGGCAAAAGCAATTGGCAAACGTCTGGTCCAAGAAATAATTTATATTATTTTAGGGGAAACAGAAGACTTGGCTAATAGCAAATTAAACTGCAAATCCCACTTGTGCAGTGTCATGGCCATTAATGTGACACCTAAGACGCAGAAAATGGAAGACTAAAAGACTGGTAAGAGCAATTATCTGAAAAAGATATAACTATTATGGTTGACAATGGTAATGATCCATAGTGGTTTCAACGACCATTACTAATTACCATTTATACAAAAGGTAGAAAACTCTATATTGATGAAGAAGAGTGTAGTGATATTTGTATAAATCAGAAAACTCTATAGATTTGTATAAATCTAGGACAAATTCACCACAATCTTTCGATCCAAAGATGAAGAAAGATTTAACCTTGATAACATACAAGAAGAATAAGTTATTCCAAGCAAAAATAAGTTTACAGTGTCTTTCGACAAGTCAAAACAGCTTGGTTTGGAGTTATAGATAGACAACAAACAGATAGCAATCGGCTACAGTTGACAATAGTAAAAAGATAAATAATCAGTTACTGTTACAGACAGTTATCACCGTAGAGACCATAGTTAATTACTATTGAATCAGTTACTATATATTAAAATTTTGTCTATAAATAGGCACACTCTGACCTTATTAAGGTGAAATCTTTTGGCAACTTCTCTTACTATATTTTTTTTCATCAATATAGAGTTTTTTACCTCTTTATCTTTATCTTTTTTCTTGTTGTGTAAATGGTAACAGATCTTGGTGTGTGCTAATATATAGTGTGCTTTTGTAAATTTTCATATATATATATATCAAAGAAGTAATCTATCTTTGTAAGTTTTTTTCCTTATACTCTTATCTCTTTATTTCTATTTCGTGTTTTAAAGTTCATATTGCTTTGTTTCTTTGTTTCTTTGCTGGTATTTGGGGCTTGGAGTTGCCTTTGTTAATTGGCATTTGAAACTGTTTAAAGAAACTAGCATTGGTTTTAAGCACCTAAAATATGGAATAAAATGAAGAAGATAATTGTATCTATAAAGATAAAACTTATAATTATAGTTTGCATATAGATCCAACTTATTAATCTCATAATATTGCTATAAGTAGAACTATAAATTGTTTTGTTGATCTTTCTTCTTCTTTCTTTAAAAAAACTTTTTGTAAAAATAGAAAATATTAAAAAAAATTGATAATATATCTACTAAAATAAAACAACAAAAATCAGAAAACATTGATTTTGGACCTTTATTTTATGGTAATATTATTTTAGCTTCTGATGATAAACCATCATCATCCTTTAAGTCCAACCAAGACATTATGGAATTTAAATCTTATAAATATCTTATTGAAAATTTTAAACTAAAAATGAATCAAACAACAGATTCTAAACAGAGGGTTGAATATCTTCAAGAAATTGAAAAACTTTATGAAACCCATAAAGATATTTTCAAAAAATATAATTATTACTACATGTTAAACTACGACACAATCAATGAAAGAAATGAAGATGAAGCAGTAGATGATAATTTTGATATTCTGGCAACCATCCCAGTTGTCAAGAATGAAGATACTTCTAAAGATGAAACCA